CCTCCCCCTCCCATTTGTTGCCCTACCTTGATGTTTGTGTGCCCCCCTCCCTCTCCCCCTTTACTTTGTTGCTATGCCTGCATCACTTACTATCTTGTCTCGCTATCCGATGTGAGGGGGAACACAGATCAATACACGTATGACTTACTCCTCCTGTTGTGTTTTTTTTATAATCTACCTTAGATGATACAGGAGTAGCACGATGTGCTTATCTCCAAGTACTGCTGGATAAGCATGCTACCACTAAATGTTTAGAAACTGTGATGTGCCCGTCAGGGCTGTTTTCGCCCTATGACGATTGCCCTTATACCATGGTCAACTCACTACTGCTATAACACTTGACATCAGACTGTTTTACACCTTTGTATGTTTTCCATGTATCGTGTATTTACACAATAAAGCTGACTTTTGATAAAAAAAAAAAATCTACAACAGATAGAGTGTGCAGTACCATAGGTCCTTAAAAGAGGTGGTTCTTGTAGCCCACCAAAAGAAAGCTCTATCTGTCCCCAAAAAAGGGTATAAAATTCATTTCAGTACAGCGCTGCATGACGGAATAAATGTCAGTCAAAGTACTGCAGCGCTGAATACTGAAAAATGGCCTGGATGGGAAGGGTGTTTAACACCGCGGATGTCAACTGGTAAAAAATAGGCCCCATAGATTCTACAGAACTTAGATTTAAAAACTATCAATTTGCAAGTTCAGCTTTGAGAAAATTACATATTTGTTATAATTTCTGTAAGAGCATCAGAGACATAGAGACCACTGCAGGGAACCTGCCTGAGAGTCCTAAGAATTTGGTGGATGATTCCCCCACCAGTACTTGCATGAATGTGAAAAAATATTGGAAGAAGAGTTCTTTTATTGTAAATGACAAATATCAGGCTGGGTTACCATAAGAAGTTAATGCTTTACTTGAACAATATTAGTATATTTAACAGTAAAGAGCTATGAGAATATTTCAGGCAAAACTTTTGGCCTTCCTTGAAGCTTATCCTTAAAGCTCTACCCAAATGTTTCCCCATAGTTCTCCTTAGGGTAACGGGAGGACACAAACTAGCGTCCTCCCGTCACCCTAGGCTCAGTATACCGCGAGCTGTAGCCCGCGCTATACTGAGACGCCGCAGCTGAAGCGGATCCCGACAATTGTGCCTGCCACGGCTCTCTGCAGTGACAGGATCGAGAGGTGAGCAAACGCCGGTATGTGTTCGCTCACCTCCCGATCTACTGAGCCGACCTGTGACAGTCTCATTGTCACAGGTCGGCTAGCTCTGTGAGGTGAGTGAAAAGCACTCACCTCATACTTCTCCTTTAATGACAAATGTGTTATAAATTGTAACAATGTAATAACATATCTCATTTCATTCTGTACTATAATACTCCCCAATAGGACAACATAGCTGAACTGGAAAGTGAGCTGAATTTGGGAATTTTTCCAAATCAGCTATTTTTGGCCTAGATTGTTCACTTCTCCTCCCTTCTCCAAACTCTTCACCCTTTTGTGAATAACCCTGTTAAAAAAATAGCAGATGTGAAACTGGGGCATGTCACCCAGTCTGATTCCCCTCTGTGATTTAAATTCAAAGTTGCTTATGTTTTTGGAGAGATTCCTCTGGTAGGATAGAAATATCTGAATCGCTCAGATAGACCTTGTTTTTGTGATAATCTTTTGTAGATTTAATTTTGATAATTCAACTTAATAACAGTTTTTCTCTCTCTTATAGGTGTAAGGGCTTTACCAATTTTTGAAACCTGCTACCTTGTGTCTCTGGACAATCCTGCCTAGAATCTGTAACCAAGGAAGGAAGATTCCATGGGGACTGTACCTGATCCTGTGGGATCTGCCAAAACATCACCCACATCTGCAGAAGATGAAAGTCTTTCCTTGGCTATGTCTCACCAAGTTAAAGATGCATCACCCAGCAGTAATGGAAATGCCACACAAATATCAAATGTCTGTTTATCTAATCAAAACTGCAATTCATCTGTAAAAGGATCTGATAACGAAAGTATATGCGAAATTACAGCACACGAAGCCAACAAGACTTCATCTTCATTTCGGACTTGTAGTCAATCAGAACCCTTGCCACCTTCGGGGGCAGATAATGTAATGGAGCAAGAGACAAAATCCATCAAAGATCCTATCCATAATGCTTCTCCTAATGACAACACACTACTATCAACCACACCCGTAAAAACAAGCGATGTAACCCACTCGACATTGCAAAGAGATGAACCAGCAGCAGAGGACAGTAGCATACCAAAAGACAGAACTGTGTTAGAAGAAGTTGTTAAAGCACAGCTTACAGTGGAGACCAGTACAACTACAACACAGCTATGTGAAATGTCACCAAATATTGAGACTGGAAGCCTAGAGGATGTAAAGAATGGGCATATGCCTCTAACTAGTGAAGAAACAAAGACAGCAGACACTCAGGAAGGAAACGTTTCAGCTGTAGCACAAGAAGAAGAGGTAAAACATTTCCAGACTGTCCTGTCATCTGACCAGTGTTTACATGTTAGCATATTGGAAGATGATTTGAACACAAATGGAGATCATGAAGCACTAGATTTGCAATTAGTATGCAAGTTCAGGGAAATGGGAACTATGACATCACAGGTAGAAATTTTAGCTACACAAGATGCTGAAGTACAAGCTGTAGCAAACGTACAGAATAAATCTGTTTCCACTAGTCCTAGCATTTTAGCTGCATTTTTGAAGGCCAATTCTCCTGTACTAAAGGAAAGACAAGAGCAAGTATGTATTATTTATCAAGGTAACCCTGGAAACCATCAGATTGACCGTGCTAACTTTGCACTGCATTCACAGCTCTCTCAAAACCACTTAGCTCCAAAAGTATGTTTTCAGCCACCAGATGCAATGGGCTCGCAGCCTATGCAATTGCACACTAAAAGTCCTCCAGATATGGTACGGTCTTCTTTTCAGCATCAAGATCTAGCAAGAAACTCACAGGTTTTATATAGAAATGAGTTAGATGGACAAGGGCTGTGTCATCCAATGTCACAAATGCAAATGTCTAATGCTTCTCCAATTTTAATGAATGTTAAACCTGTTTACCAAATCAATATAGAGAACAGTACTCAACCTAAAACTGGCCATAGAACAAAAGATTTGTTTGGTGAGCAAGCTCAATTTAGAGCAGCCCATGAATTGGGCAGTAAAGCCAGACTTCACCATTTAAGTGGAATAGAAAATATCCAGCTTCATAATATCCGTCAAGAAAGTGACCAGACAGACACACTTACTGTTCCTGGTGAAGGTGGCTCAGATCGGAAACCCTTTCATTTTAAAATAACAAATGAACAGGGTTCCACCCAAGCTATCATCACCACTGATATCAAAAAGCCAAAGAAGGAGGAGAGGCCAACCCCACTTCATGTTGAAGTTCAGGTTAACAGCAGTATTGGGGCTACTGGAGGTCAGGTGGAAGAAGTACTTGAAGTCCTCGTTAGGAAGGATCAGGATGAAGGTGAGCATGCCAAAAGGTCAAGCAGTATAAGCTTGCAAACCAGACCTGCATCAGATTATAACCAGGGTGCAGTTCAGCTCACTCCACGTTTAAGAAAAGCTAGGGAAGATAAAAAGGAACCAATTTTGGTCACTCTACCTACCTCTGAACCAGCTAAACCACACGGAAAAAAATCAAGTCCAAGTTCAAGCGCAGAAGGAAAAACCCAAGCAAAGCAGCAAACTAAAAGTGTGAAGGATGTAGTCTGGGATGAACAAGGCATGACATGGGAAGTATATGGGGCTGCTATGGACCCGGAAGCTTTGGGCATTGCCATACAGAATCATTTACAGAGACAAATCAGAGAACATGAGAAAATGATTAGGGCTCAGTTAAAGCAAAACCGTAAATCAATTTGTTCAGATTCATCAGGGAAAAAGCGCAAAAGAAGACAGCACAGAGTATTTCAATCTATTCTTAAGAATTTCAGACGACCTAACTGCTGTAGTCAACCTCCTCCATCATCTGTGTTAGAGTGACTTTTGCCCTGAGGTGTGAACAGTTATATCCATACCCACATCATTCGGTAGTCTTTTTTTGGTTCATTTTAAGTTTGCACTTAGGAATGTTATGGACATTTTTTATTTGATTATGTACAGGGTTTCGGGTGATTGTCACATCACTCTGTTTTATAATGAAATATCATTTTATTTTGGTGTTCATTTTCATGGCTCAGTGGGTGATGTAGAATAAAGTCACTTGTTGTTTTTATTTTTAGCCAATATTTGATACAGGTTTTGTAAATGTTAAATGTGTATTGTCATCACTTAAAAAAAAAGACAAGCATTAGCAATGAAACAATATAGATCTTAACATGATGAAGTGTATGCCGTTAAATGCTGTGCCAGAGACGCCTTTATCACATGGGCCTTTTTAAGTTTAAAATGTTTATGATGAGAATGAGTGGTGATACACTTTTATATATTGTAGCAAATATGTGCATGTGCAGATCAAGAGTGGAATCTGAGGATCTGTTTAAGAGTTTCATGGGGTTTTACTGAATTGCAATGTGTACCACATGACTCATTAAATGTAAAACACTCAAATTTTAACCCTTAAAATAGCAACTCCTATATAAGGGGGAATCATGACCAGCAGTAAATCTAATTTGGGAGCCCATCAGTCAGCTAACATGAAGTTTCTATGAGGATATCCAACATGTGTCCTGCCTTGCATACTCACTGTTTGAGTGCCCCCCGGGTGAATTCTATTCAATTGATTGGTGCAGTTGTAATGTTTCAGGGTTTACACTATGGTAATGAGAAAATGCAATTCACTGTAAAATGATTGAGTTGTGCTGCATTATAGCAATATATCTGTAGCAAACAGTATAGTTTTGTGTTAAAGCAACATGAACTCCTTAAGAAATATGCATCCTTTTGCATAAATTAAAGCTGAACTTCAAGCAAATAGATAAGAAAACATATATAAGGGAACTATTGAACCTGCTAAGGGATTTGTATTTCCTGAGATTTACACTGCTCTGTTACACAGCACAAGCTTGTCTGGTAGGAGAAGAGACCTGATTTTCCTGTGCTGCAGTTAAAGAAGAATTGGAGCCAAAACTTTTTTGTAGGTATTGGATAGAATTAGGGAGGGTTATAACCCCTGTAAGTTTTTTTTCTACCTTCTGTGTCCCACCGGAGAGATTTCACTTCCTGCCGGATAGCCACAAAAGGAAGTGAGAGAATTTCCCACCAAAGAGAAGGAAATTCCTGGTGGTCAGCAGGTTTATCAGAATTAGCGTCTCAATTTCCCATCTATTCCTGTTCCGACAACAACCTACAAGGGATTTTCTTTCTCTTTCTGTGATTACACTCATTCGGACCAATGGAGAGGGTGAATTTCTCTAACAAAGTCACAGACAGGTGTTCTAATCCCTCTCCACTCCATCCAAAACTAAAACAAAAGTTTGGGCTTGTAGATATTGTCCTTCCTGCAGCCTGTGACTAGAAAGTGAAGGAGAAACATCAGACTGATGTGCTCCTATCTCTGACACTCTACTCTTTCCTCTCTTCTCCTATAAGCAAGCCCTTTATTAGCATATGAGCACTGCAGCACAACTGACTGGCTCCTTCTGCTTCTTCTTCTTTCTTTCCCAGTCTGAGCTGTGCTGTACAGGGTATTGCAAGAGGCTAATGCCAAGTCAACTTATGGTACTTATATTGCTTGCATTCAAGAAAATACATTGAATCATGTTTTCTTGGATACAGGGCTGCATTGATTTATGTCTTTCATATCTGCATGGAGTTTAGTTTTAAAGTGTAATTGCACCTCTTGTCTCCAGCACCTCCGCTAGTCTTTATCTAACCTGTCCCCTGAGCCAATAAAATATCGCCCTCAAAGCAATTCGTTAATGCTCACTACACTGTCCATTCTAGTACAAACTCCACAAAGGATTGAATGGAGGATGTACTGTGCATGTGCTTGCCTGGCTCTGAAGAGGCTCGGCAGTTTTGTGGGCGATATGTCGCTGAATTGGGAACATGTGAGTATAGAACTTGTGGGGGGCAGTTTCAGGGAACAATACATTCTAAATATATCATAAGTGTAACTACACCAAAGATGCAGATACACTTTCAGCAAACCAAAAAGTGAAGGTGAAGCATACAAAGAATGGATAAGTGATAAATATAACTAAAGTATAAAATTCAAGTAAATTCCTAGATAATACATTCTACTTGATAAGGTATCCCTGATGAATATGACATGTGAATAACTGGTATTTATGTTTGCCTTTTTGTTTAGGATGCTTATCTTCCCCCCTTCCATATAACATTGGCAACTTTGCGACAGTCAAAAAAATCTCAGTTCCTGGGAGAAAGTTCTGTACATTATTTAGGCATGCCAGAATTTAATTGTTTCAACAGGCAATTTCAAGCATATGCCAGGAAGGATGTTTATCAGTTAAAGGAGAACTATGGGGTTAAGGCTTTTCCCCATAGTTCTCCTTAGGGTAACGGGAGGACACAAACTAGTGTCCTCCCTTCACCCTAGCTACAGCTCGCGGTATACTGAGACGCCGCAGTATACCGCGAGCTGCTGCTCGCGGTATACTAAGACGCTGCAGCTGAAGCGGATCCCGACAATTATGTCTGGATCCGCCCAGCTGCGTGAGTGACAGCTGGCTCTGCCTATCTAGAGGCAGAGCCAGCTGTACCCGCCCCCTCCCCCGTCCATTCCGCCAGTCAGCGCTGGCAGATCGGAGCGGGGAGGGGGGAATCCAGCCCCTCCCCTGTCACGGCAGAGAGTCGTGACAGGATCGAGAGGTGAGCGAACGCCGGTATGTGTATATCCTGTACTGCCATGTAGTGCAGCCCTGAACTCTGGATTTTGAAATTTTGCTCACAAATGGCAAGCTAAGAAGTGCTTCTCATTGGTCAGCGTGGGCAGGTGACCTCGCTGACCAATGAGTGCTCGCCATTTGTGATCAAAATTTAAACTCCAGAGTGCAGGACTGCGCTACATGGCAGTACGGGGTATGGATAGTATATGCGTACCGGCGAAGGGTAAGGAGCATTTGCCAAAAGGTAAGTATAGTGGGGGGAGGGCCATATTGGAGGGAGTAATTCCATTTTCCCAAATTCAGCTGGGAAAGCGGACTTACCCTTTAACTTTTTAAGTCCCAGTGGGTAATAAAAACTATGCTGTTTCAATGGGGTTGATTTACTAAAGGCAAATAGGCTGTTCACTTTGCAAGGGGATTTTGCACTTTGCAGTGGAAGTTTCCCTTTGGTTCAGTGAATGAGGTGAAGCTTTGCTGACTTCCATCATCCAATCATGTGCAAACAAAAATATATTTTTTTTATTTACCTTGCACGTGATTGGGCATTCATTGCAAAGTGAAATTTCACCACATTCACCAAGCTAATGGAAACTTCCTGCAAAAGTAAAAATGTCCTTGCAATGTGAACAGCCTATTTGACTTTAATAAATGTATGTAAGATTCCCTTAAAAATGGCTGGTTGCTAGTCTGCAGTTGAACTATCCCCATAATAAATTGATCTGAATCAAAACACAAAGCTTCTTTTTTTATTATTATTCTTATGATATCTGTTGGAAATTTCTAAACATCTGAATGCATTTTTTAATATTTATATGTGGGAAAGTCACTGTTGCAAATCTTAAGTTCCATTTATTTATAGCAGTACATGTTTCTAAACCTCATGCCCATAGGAGACACAAAACTGCAGGTTTAGAGGATTTTCCAGTGAGCACAGAAGGATTAATCTGAATAACTGACCCACTGAATTATCAATCCATGCTAATCCTAGGAGACACTGAACATAACAGTGATGTGTGACCCAAATGCATGCTGGGTAATATTGTGCATTTTACACATTATTCCACAGTTGGAAAATTAAGTTGCATTGATTTGACTAATAAAATATTGTGTTTTTCAATTACATTGTTCTATGGAATAGCAAAAAATAATAATACCTTTTTTCTTGTTAGGTCAGATATTTCTAATTAATTTAGATAGATATATATTTTAGAATATGCTTCATCTTATTCTTCTCTAAAAGCAATATAAAAAGTGGTTTCAGTGTAAATATTTATGAACTGATTTTTGATTTACGACACACTTCAGAATGCGTTTTTCAATGTTTCCGGAGAGTGTTTTTATTTACAAGACGAACTTTAATACAATTCATGTCAGTCTTGGGAAGTTAATGTGTCTTTACAATGAGAAGTTTTGTATTTGAGAAAAACTCTGTTAAGTCTCCATGTGATTGTAGTATTTCAATAACTGTAGCCCACAAAATGTTCTCTTCTTAGAGTATTTGAGATTAATAAATAGTTCATTTTCATTTGCCCTACTATAATAATAGTCAGCATCCAGTGTTTCCAGTGTGCTGTAGAGAAAAAAAAAGTAGAGATTGAGTTCTTCCTGACCGATGTTTTTGTGTAAACACTGTACATAAGCTATCACAAACAGTAGCTTAAATCACTCTTTAGGGTTTATGTACATGTGCAGCTTTTTGGGGCTACTTATGTTTGTGTCGTTCTCTTCCTGAAAGAGAAAAATATGAGAAGCAAATCTACTATCCACACAAATGTGCTTGCCGTTTTTTTTTCTTGTTTGTGAGAAGAAGAAAAAAAACGCCAATGAAAAGCAGCACTGAAGGGCCATATGTGTGAACTAAGCCTAAAGGATCATCCGGCCTGTATGTATTATGATGTAATAAATTGTTAACTCTTGTAAACCAGATGCTGCTGAAAAGAAGAATGTCATTTTATGTGTCACGAGCTATAGCGATAAAGTAACTTCTTTTTTTTATTATTTAAAGAAATGAATATTTTATGGCACCCTTTTCAGAGCTAAAACTATTATGGAGTTTAAAAGGAAAAATGACATGGACATTTTTGATTTTTATTATATTAGTATGTAAACATTTATGAGACTATACCTGGAATAAATAAATAAATGCACTTGTGTCAAGGATCTGTAATAAATATCAATTAAACCATGCATTGGGTGTTATTTAGCATTAAACAGTTTGCTCATAGCCAGGGACAACTTTCCAGCAAGATTACCAGTTTCTCATATAGCATCTACATATGCCTATATGAAGATATGAAGGGCTACCTAACATCTTCCATGGAAGCACAGCAGGTAATATAAAAATTATCAAAATATCCCAGATTCAGTTCCCTTTATCGCAACCTCTTTTTCACACCTTCTTCCCTTTCCTTACCACATTCTCAGCCATTTCTAATGCTGGTTAGAAACTGGTCAATCTACAAAGGTTTGGTTGGGGGGGATAAAACCTATAATGCAGATTCCAGTGGCCCCATCAACAGAATAATGCAAGTTTTTGTATGTGTTTTCTTTACGCTTGATGATTTACAATGCTACTAATATTATAATATGAGAAAGTCAAAATGTTTTGCAACTTGACTTGCGTCAAGGATCTGTAATAAATATCAATTAAACCATGCACTGGATGTTATTTAGCATTAACGAGTTTGCTCACATCCAGGGACAACCTTCCAGCAAAGATTTGGATGGGGTGACAAATAAGGATGAAACCTATAATGCAGATCCCAGCGGCTCCCCCAACAGAAAACCTTTGCATGTGTTTGCTTTACACTTGATCTTTTACAATGCTCCTATTATTCTAAGATATGAGAAGGTCAAAAATTCTTCCCAACTCCAAGTGCATCTATAGTGTATGAAGGAACTCCATATGCTTACATAATGATGTCTCATTATACTACCAATATGGTAAAGATAGTTTTTTCATGATGATTCATCCTCCACATCTTTCCACTGTCATCTGACCATGCTGAGCTGTTGGTGTACTCAGTGGATGTGCTATTTCGCAGGGATGCACAGAATTACAGATTCTCTTGCCAGTAAAATAGTTTACATATATACATACACACACAACATATTATGCAAAATTGTACAGAATGGTTTGTGAAGCTCCTGACAGCCCTCTCTTGGGGAGATGATGGGACCAAAAATTAAAAAAATGGGACCCTTCTGAACTGTGCATGTGGGATACTCAGGGTGAGTGCTCTCCTACCCAGAAGTTTGGGAAGCGTCACTCTAAAGGTGCCCATACACCTTGCGATTATCGTACGATAATCGCGGGAAATCCAGCGATCGTAAGGTGTATGGAAGGTGTGCGACCGTTTCTACTGTACGGTCACGCGTTTTTTGTCTAACGAGCATGTTTGAAACCCGCCGAGAATCGTACGATTGTCGGCGTGTTTGTGGCATGCTCGGGAGACAAATGCCGAACGGGCCAGTGTGCGCAAGCGCACACTGTCCGTTCACCATTGCAGTCATCAGAAGCCCACCCCTATTTATAAAAATGACAGGGTCACAAGACCAAGGCCCTGAGTATCACACCAAAAGTTAATTCATGATTGTACTTATTGTACACATATATTGACTTTAATTTTGCACAGTAGTTTTGCTGCTTTACAGCACCCACATGTGGCCACAAAAAAAAAAAACATAGAAATGTTGCAAAAGTGATCTACAATGCAGATCACATTACCAAAATACAGGCCTCACCTCTATTACCAATGAGTAGTTGCTGGTGCAGAGAGGTGCCCTACTCAGGAGTTTTTTCTACATTTTTACAATGCCACCTTTGCTTCTAAAGATAAGTTCCAATCTAGATAGTAGTATCACAGAGAAACCAGCCCACTGATGCAGATTCTATAGATTAGCTGGTGGCAGTGAGTACAAGGCATTTGTCTGCAATGAAGAGCTTTTGAAATGACCAAATGCTCCCAGATAACACTTTTACTTTAACTACAGAGACAACATGGCCACAAAATAAAGAGGCAAAAAATCCCCACAATAATAGGAACAAAAAGGCAAAGAAGCGCACAATGATAGAAACAAAAAAGAAGCAAAGGGTTTGATTGCCCAAAGAGCTAGCAATCAGAACCAGTCTATGTTCACACTATATGTGGTGAACAAGAAAAGCGAACTGTTTCTTTTTTTTTCTGACATGGCCGCCCTCAGTCAGAAAAAAAAAGCCTGCATAGAAATGCATAACTAGATTCCTATTGGCTATTTCACTTAGAAAAAAGGGTCAAGTTAGGAGCGACAAGCTACAGCGACGAGCTACAAGCGATATTGAGTGGCGAGATGTGAACAGCTCCATTGAAATGGATTGGAGAAGCTACATAGAGCGATATCGCGTGGAAATATGAGCGATATCGCTGCAAAAATCGCACGATAAATCGCTCAGTGTGAATGGGGCCTTAAAGTACAGTTTCCTAACTGCCCCCAAACTCTCCCAATGCAATTTGTCAGTTTTCCCTATATTTTACATACAGCAGCTACCAATACACCGACACATTGGCTGGTCTGTGTATGTAACGAGAGGAGTGGCTTATCCAAAAACCCCCTCATCAGTCCTTCTAAGTCTGCTGGCCATAGGTCAAAGTGCATTATGTTTTCCCAAAAATTTTCCTGGGCGCATCTGCACATAATTTGCTGGGACCACGGTACCCATATTGCAGGATTTGCCTCATAAACATGGTAGTGGTTAACCTGAACCACATGTCCAGTGGCACAGTAATCTACGCCAATAATATCTAGATGTAGCCCACAGAGCATTTCTTTTTATTCTATAGCATTGAACAAAAAGTTTTCATCAGCTGTGGTAAGGGATTAGGCATTAATCAATTTAGACTTTTTAATCGTGCTGACAAGCTGTCATGTGCAATCATTTATTTTTCTGTCAGCTGCTGAAGGTTCACAAATGCTTAGCAAACAAACATGTTCTACTTCTGATTACACCATATCGCCTAGCAGCCATGAATACACTTTGTTGAACAGCAAATGTAAACTTACAGTTCAACTGGGCACACATTTTATTATCTTGATTTACTAAAATACAGTCTGGCACGAGTGTATATCATTTTGAATACAGGCCACCATGGGTCACTAACCCAGGGAGAGGTGATACTAGAGCTGCCACCTGTTGTACAGAACATGGAACTGCACTAACATTAAGACTCACATACTCTATGCTCCTGATCTCTTTTACAGTGTCAGTAGTATACACATGTGAATTATATTATATTATATGGGTGTGGTTGATAATGGTATTTCGTAGACTCTACAGGAAGTGAAAGAATACAGTTACATAGTTAGTAAGGTTGAATAAAGACACCAATCCATCCAGGTTAAGCTATATATGCATATGCGTGTGTGTGTGTGTGTGTGTGTCGCATGTTCATGTCACTATGACCTCCCAAACCCCTATATATATTGTAAAATGAGAAACTTAAGTTATTTTTTTTTAAGTTATCGATGCTGTCAGCTGATACCACTAACTGCAGAAAGAATTACACATTTATACTTATCTAGCAGTAAAAAACCCTTACACAGTTTAGGCTTAAACTACTTCCCATTCATGTTCATGTTGTGGCCTTGTGTCACCTTCAGAGTCGTTGGTTTAAATAGTTTTATCCCGTTATTCTGTCCCTGTGCATGATTCTATTCTCTTGTGCTCCAGGCCTGTCTTGTCTAAAACGGTGGCAAAAACTTTTACATACTATTTACATTTGCAATATATTTTGTCTCATGGCGGTGACGGGAGCTCTGTCTCCTTCACTTCCTGCCCATGGGTGTGAGTAGTGTATATACATTGTAGTCATGTGCACCACCTTTATTTACTGAGCTGATGGCTTAAACAATTACTATTTAACCATGCTCATTTGGGTGATGCCATACCCACATTTTGCTACAGCTCATTGATCAAACACCCAGCTGCATAGCCGTGGCTCAGGCCCAGACCCTGTTTCCTTAATACTTTTATAATTGCTCATTTGTTGTTCTCATATTGTCACAACTGTCTATATTCTGGGTTCAAACCACAAATCCATGTGCCATCCAGATACAACATAAACTTGAACAAAAAGAAAGGGGTCAGCTAATCATTTAATGTTTATGTCCAGTTTATGTTTATGGGAAATGGTTAGAACCCCTGTTAGGTTTTTACTGATGCATGGAGCTCCAGATATCACTATTAGATTGTCAGATTTACCCTCATTTCTTGTGCTGCTAACACTATTTTACCACACATGAAGTGAGGGGAACTCTCCAACAGCAACACAGAAATAAAAAGGATTTCCTTTAGTAGAGTAGGGGAAGGATAGACCCCTGTCAATTGTTCTAATTACTGTCTATGTCCTTGTTGCACATTCTACCTCACTTCCTGTCTGGTGAAACCATTGTCAGCAGGACAGGAAGTCAGGGTAAATCTCTCTAATGGAGCCCTGCGTAACAATAAAACCCAGCAGGAGCTCTAATCCTTCCCCACTGTATTGCAAATGTAGAAAAAAAGGTTCTTGGCTTGACATACACCTACATTGATTTACTAGAATTTTTTGGAATTACTTTTTAATTGTATTTTGTAGTCCATCACTGCTGAGCTCTGTATACTGTGGCACAAACTGGGAGTAACATATTTTTCTGTGTTTGCAGATATGCGCTCTACTCGTGAAGTAAAACCTCTACCAGCAGTAAATCATTTCTGCACTAGATATGTCAGCGAGTTTTCATTTCGCAGTTCAGCCTCAAACACAGAACCTGACAGTAAAACACACAGGAACTTTGCATTATTGTAATTAGGATTCATAAAAACTGCACAAAACAAGACAGTGACTAATTACTGAACGGATTCTAAGCCACCGTGAAGTTGTTTGTATAACAAATCTACTCAACCTATAAAAGAAAAATGAGGTAACACATAGTATATCAGGGTTGGAATAATTAAGCTATTTG